CTGTAGTAAAAATTGTCACAATATTATGAAAGATAGAAAACTTTCACTTACCGAGATCTCTTTCTCTTTTTACTTTTACTCTTCTTCTTCTCCTTGGCTTTCTGTAGCTTCTCTTGTAGCTTCTGCCTTAGTTCTGCTTCTCGGAGCCGTTGGAGTGGTGTAGCATACTCCTCCTCAGAGTCACTGCTTGTGCTGCTCACATCAAGCACTATTTCTTTATTGGGATCCACCTGGAGTGATCAGGATTATTGTGGTTAAAGCTATGAATAAAAACTGTGTTCAATAGTGTTATTTGTAGATGAAGATATTTTGGTCAGTTAATTTGCTCACTTTGCTAATGATATTAGACGTGGTTTAAATATGTATTTTAGTAGACTTAAAAATTTAAGTGATATAGCAATTTATCTAAATAAAACAATGATCTTTTTATCATTTAATCGATAGTTTTACTGTAATTGAGTATATTATAGCTAATTAATAAATAGATACCTTAATAGTTTGTGTAATTAACAACAAAATCAAAGATTTTTACCTTTATAAAGTTTCTGCATTGAAACGTAAGATGCCCAGCATAACCACACTTTTTACAAGCAGCCCGGGCCGTCTCCTTGCCGAACTTATTCACTAAATCTGGATAGTTAGACATTATTGTCACGAAATGCGAATAAAATAACAAACCAATAATGAAAATACCACAATTTCTAGTAAACTCCAGACGAGACGTGAAACGTCAACAAACAAATGCGTTCCGTTTCATCGTTTGTTGCAGTAAACGTAACCTATGAAACGTAAAATGCGATTAATTTTTTTTTAATTCTTCTATGTTATTTATTTAGGTACGAAATATAAATTATATGTTTAAATTAAAGTAATTTAAAATAGAATGTATTCTTTTAATTATGTTTTATTCAATTATTGGTAAACTTCAAATAACTAATAACTTAATCAGGTAAACGAAACGTTTTTTAACAACGTTCCGTTTTACCGACACAATTTTTGTAATGCTATATTAACTTTTTTTTCCTTCGCAGCAAATGACGAAATTTCGAAAAACATTTTATCAAAACTAACTAGTTGAAAGAAATGTTTGGAAATGGCGGAATTTCTGCCGCTGTGCGACGTGCTGTTCAACGTGATCTCGCTTGCCGGGTACTTCTGCGACGTGGTGTTCGACGTCGTGATGGGATACGCGTTACTCGAACGAGGATATAAAGGCACTTTTGCTGCTGCTATATCTATTGTTATCACTTCGCTAGTCATATCACAGGCAAGTTACAAAAATATTTTTACTTATGTGAAACGGAACGTAGACACATTTTTTTATTTCGTAAAATCTGAGTTTTGTTATTTGAGAACCCGGTCATTGAGCTCCACACTATTTAAAAAAAAAAGAGGATATTTGCAGATATTTATTATAAAATATTTAAAATCAGGTTCTGGTAAATATTTCTATAAAGCTGAATTTTACTTCCCAGGTGCTCTCGCTCCGCTGGTATCTTCACGTATGGTGGGCCGGAGAGGGTCGCAAGGGCAGGCCGCCATGGCTCCCAATACTGCTGCACTGCCTCCAGCTAGGCGTACTCTGGAGATATGCCCGGCTACTCGTACCTGTCGAGCTGAGGAGAGTCAAGCACCAAGTCCGAGATCTATGTAAGTTTAACAATTCTTTTTAAAAGGTCTGTTCTGTATTGGAATCGATTCCGCAATACTGCGTTGCAGCCTGTAGCCGACTCAACCAACTATGCATTAAGCCTTTGACTACCGACGGAAAATTGTTGAGGGCAAATCCTCCGCTATTGTCACCCATTGCTGTCCGTCATGCGTTCAACGTGCTATTTAGTATGGAAGTTAAATCTGCCTCGCCTTAATTATGTAGAGGTAATTTATAACATATATTTCTTAATGCAGGTATGCTCCGCCTAGTCCACGCGTTCTGCGAGGCCGCGCCCATGTTACTGCTACAGTTGCACATACTGTTCAAGGACACCAGCAGGGAACCCACCAGCGACCTCACCGTCACTCCCGAACCCAGCATCGATGAGCCCTCAGGTTTGACCATCACCTATCTACGTATATTGTATACAAAAGCAAGCTAAAAAGTTCGTTTTTTTTATGAAATACAAGGTGTAGTTTTGAAACTATGTCTTTCTCGGGGGCATGTCACAGAAGTCATAAAGGTTCAATATAAGAGAAAATTTTAGGTCAATAGTTAAAAATACTGCTATAATAAATCGTTTAAGTTCGACAGTATTTCAGAATAAGCGATAGCAATGTTTCTTATTGGAGTTTTATGGAATTAGGAATAATATAAATTACGTATTTGAGTTTGTGTGTGTTAAGTCGCGTTATAAAGCTAGTTACAAAACGGCGACGTGTACTTAGCACTTAGATACGGATTTCCGTAATTTCAGAAAAATGAAAAATATTTTCCTACAATTTTTTTTATTGATTCGGACACACAATCGATATCCGAGTTACCTCCTAGAAAATGACGCGGCTTTAAAACAACACCTTGTATACTACATCTCCAGAACTAAAGGGTCGAATTTAAAGAATAGGTATTTTTGTGTTAGATAGTCCATTTATAGAGAAATGTTATAAACCATAGAACATTACACTGAAATCTTGCGAAAGTACTAAGATACAAACTTATATAGGTACTTAGTAGTAAATTATTTTGCACAACGATATCACTTTGCATATATCATCCTCTAAATGTACGTTTAACAACTTCAAATCAAAGACAAAGTAACAATATTGGGTATATGAAATACACCTGATTCTTCTGGAAATTAGACTAGGCTAATTTTATTCTATGCTATATCTATATTTCAGAAAACAAAGCGTTCGCGGAGCTGAACGTGATCTCAGCGTCTTTGTCCCTGTTCTCTGTGTGCTGGGCGCTCGCCAGCTTCAGCAAGAATGTTAGACTACAGAACGTGCATCGACTCGTACTCACCTGGCTGGGAGTTATATTCCAGGTACTTTAACCAAAGCAACACGCGAAAAATAATATGATTATATACCAAACAGAATGCGGAAAGGTTTTTAAGGGGCCACAAAACAATCAGCAATTTTGATTTCTCTTCTGGCTGACTTTTTCATCATAGATATCAAAATATTTGTAACATCAATATATCACCCACTCTGATGACCCGCGGAAAACTTAACGGGTTACCGAGGCTCCGGCTCGAAGTGCAGGAGTAGGAACGGGATGGTTCTTAGTCAGTAAGAGTCTGACACTCCCTCTCCCCTTCACCCAGGCGGGAGAAGTCATTCGATAATTTCCCCCCTTAACAAAAACCACTCTGATGACGGTACGACAATGCCCCACCCTCATCTAATATTTTAACTCTTTATATTTAATCGAGTTCTACATATACCTAAACTTGTCCAAACATTTGTTCGTGTTTGTTTACAGTTCTTGTGGCGCCTGGGAACAATATCGGCGCGTATTTGCGCGCTTACCGTCTACGCTCTAGTCTACGAATATTGGGTCTTCTTAGTTATAGGTAAGTAATAGTAATAGCAATCTATCTTTGATAAACACGCCTTGTAATTATGAGTCCCCGTATTTTTTTATTTAGTCTTTAATGTACACAATTTGATTATGGCACATAAGGCGAACTTAATGCCATATGGCGTTCTCTACCAGTCAACCTTAGGGTTTAAGTAGAAAATCTGCGAAAAATAAGGTACGTAGAGAAAAAAAAGAAAAAAAATATGGGAATTATTAAATAATATAGCTATACATATATATTACATAATAGTAAATAGTATATATAGTCATATGTATAATATATATAGGTATAAATACATACGTATAGCTTGAAATTGAAAGTAGTTGAGCATTTTCGTACAGTTTACGGAAACCACATATTTAAGTAATTATCTTATAATAATGTTATACCTGTCTCAGGTCTCCACTGGCTGTCAATGTTTCTGTGGCTGATATCTCCTAAGAACGTGTTCCACGGAGAACGCATCAGTCGGCCGCGCAAGGCGTACCTCTCAGCACTCATTGCATTTGTATACGTCTTCGCTTACGTCAACCTACAGGAACTTAATCATAGGCAGAAGATGGTAAGCATGTTTATTGTAATTACTTGCGATATTTCTGATGATGTAGGGATTTAGGGAACTAAAAATTGCTTCTGTATTTGCACTCATAATTATTATCAGCCTATAAGCATTCACTGATAAGCAATGGCTTTTTCCCACACAGAGAAGGTAAGAGCATTAATCACCATGTTTACTTAAAGCGCATTGGCGATTTCAACCTTACCTATAATTAATTTGAAATGATGTAAGTTCAGGTTTCTTCACGATGATGTAGTGTATATAAACTTAGACAGTACCTACATATATTATAACTTTAATAAAAAGTAATCGAAATCGAACTGCCTCGTTGGCCGAGTGGTCGCAAGTGCGACTGCCGGGCAAGGGGTCTCGGGTTCGATTTCCGGGTCAGGCAAAATATTACTGGGTTTAAAAAAAAGAAAATCTCAGTAGTAGCACGGAGTCTGGAATTGTGCCCGGGATATGGCAATAGGCTCACCCCCTATTACATGGGACTCATAACATAAATAGTGAAAAGTCGGTGTTACTTCTGTGTGCACTTCTGCCTACCCCTTCGGGGATAAAAGGCGTGACGTTATGTAAGTAATCGAAACATGTATTGAGGCGGTATGGAGGCGGAATTTTAGAAACTCATAAGACCGCAGTTTTCTTCGAACCCGCAGTCGCGAGCGTAAAAAGCGCCGTGAAAATTGCTTTGATTTTTTACATACATATCTGTATTTCACAAAGCGGGCTCGCGACCGCGGCGGGCATGGGATAAAATCGCGCCCTAAACCCTTAGTCTTAAAGCACCAACCGCAGTCTCGTGTCGATTACTTTGAACGTTAATCTAACTCGTACTAAGGCCTCAGGTCAGCAGGTCACGAAACAAGTGCCTTAACCTTAGTGCCGCCACAAGTGAGTAAATGACGAATACTTGTGTTCCAGGTGACGTTCTACTGCGTGATGTGCGTGGAGAACTGGTTGTTGGTGACGGCGTGGTGGTGGTCGGGTCGCTCGGCCCGGCCCGCGCCGCTGGCCGCCGCCGCCGCCGGTGCATTCGCCGCCGGCATCGCCTTCATGCTGCTTTATTACAGGTCAATATCACCAACACAAACCACTCCAGAATGAAGTCAAATATTTATAAGGAAACTATGTAGTTTACAGTTCGATAAAAAACCCATATCGCAATCGGATTATCCGTTCGAGACGTAAAGATAGTTATTAACCCTTCTTTATATCATCATCAACAGCCTATAAGTGGCCTACTGACTAAGGCCTCTTCTCGCACGGAGAAGGTGGTTTGAACATTAATCGCCACGCTTGTTCAATGCGGGTTGATGATTTCAAACTTATAATTACAAATTACGTTTCCTCACGATGTTTTCCTTCACCGTTTGTCAGTGATATCTAAATAATCTTAGAAAATACGCATAACTCGGGGAAAGTCACATTGATACTTGCCGTTGGTAGGTTTCGAAACCGCGCTCTCATGCATCGAAGCGCGTCTTAAACCTCCGGGTCATCACGACATCTTTATACCAGAGTTTAAAAATATTAATGTTTTACAGATACTTCCACGTGAGACGACTGGGCTATATGCTGGGAGAACATCAACAGGGAACGAACAGTACCAACACATCATCGCAGAATAAAGATGGTATGTATCATATACCAAGAGTTCAGTAATTCCTCTACAATGGAATAAAAATGTTATTATTATAAGAGTGAATATTATTGCAACCAAAAATTAAAGATTTCTTTTTTATTTTAGGTAAAACATCTAATCAAGTTGAGAACCCAACGATACCGGGCGTGTTCAACTGTCGGTTCTCAAACCCAGTCAGTAACAGGTACGTGTAAAAACAGTAAGAATAACAACGCAGGACCTAATATAGAACCCTGTGGCACTCCAAACCCTATCATACAAATGTGAATTTTATTATACAGATATTTTATTGTTGTTTCCTTACAGTGCAGCGAATGGTCGTAAAAAGAAGAAGCCGACTTCTTTCGTGCCTCCACCAGCCGCGCCTGCCGCTGCCTTCTGGAGGAGACCACTGCCTGCCGCTCATAATCATCATGTAAGACTTATAAACTCAAATATAACTAGAGTAACTTCTATAAAATTGACGTAGAAATATGTGTTAATTAGTAAGTTTATGTTAAATTATTCCAATTTTTACCAAATTCCAGGGTGGGTCATCTGAAAACGAAGGTTCAAGCGTCGGTTCAAGAGTGAACATCCAACAAAAATTACAAGAGAAGAAACAGAAACAACTTGCAGAACTGCGCGTCATAGAGGAGGAGATCAAGCAAGGCAAGCTAGCCAAGACAACGCCCGTCGCCGCTGAGGAGATATACAGCAGTCTACAGCGACAGCCCATACCCCGCGCCAAGACTCACGCAGAACCCCCCGCCTGGCCCAGTATAGAAATGGCACACTCCTACCAAAACTATCCCATTTGCAACATTTACCCCACCTACACAGAAATAAAACCCGATTTCAACATCAATATAAACTTCCAAAACAATGAAAACCCACCTTCAGACATCAACGATCCTCTCAAAATGCGAAGATTACCGAATAGATACGATAACACCCGAACCTTTTACGAAAACCCAGCAAATATGAGAAACGACGTAACGCGCACTCCACTTCGCTCACCAAACTATTTAGCACTCAATGAGAATAGAAATTACGATGCGAATGCCTGTACAAGTGCAAGGAACGCCCTCAGTAACAGTCCTCGAACCTACATGCCAGACGTCAGCAACAACTACGAAACAGCTGGGCTAGACAAACCTAGAATAGCACAGAATTCTATTTACTCAGAAGACCACAGGCAAATAGGAGAGTATTCAGGATACTGCGAAGGGAACCAATATCCAAAATATGAAAGTAAAGACGAATACGTGTCAGCTTTGCATAACGCGTTGAATGTGCAGAATATAGACAATATTAGGAATAACTACAATGAGGTAGGTTGTGGTTATAATCAGAATTGTGAGCGGTTCCAGTACCCGGGGCTGGCGGGGAAGAAGATGGAACAGATGAGGAAGATGCAGCGATGTCGGACGCCTGAGATATTACTCGCGCCGCACTACTTGGATGGGTGTAACAGACAGGTCTGCTGTCATTGGGGACCACCGTACACGTAAGTCACTCACATTTTTAATTCGGGTAATTTGTCAGTTTGATCCTTTTTAAATACATCTGTATATTTGATGGGCCGACGTTTGGCCACTATCTCGCCTGGTGATAAGCGATGACGAGGCCTACGATCCTATTGTGACAAAGCCATCCACTCTACAATGATAATACTTTTTGATTTGTTATATCTTTGCAAATCGATATTAAAATCGTACTTTTGTCTAGAAACAGGAAAAAAGAGGAAGGAGCGGGCAGTAGTGGTGAGGAATCCAGTCCGGATGGACCGGCGCGTGAGACTCCACGGCCTCCCAGCGATATTGATAGCCAGGTACGTGTGATGCAAAAATATTGCATTTATTACATAACTCATGTCTCTGTCCTTTACTATAGGGGTAGGTAAATTTTATTTTTTTTCAATTGGTGACAAAATAAAAACGTATATCTGTCGACCAGTTTTAAAATGAATACATATTCATTTATATGAATGAATATAGATACATATGTATCTAGCTATCAAAATTAAAATCTACTGTTTTGAATTATTTTGGAATGACATACTTATTGTACTTTTTTGTGTTCAGATCTCGCTGCCTCGATCTTACACGCTACCGAGGGAGTTCCGCTACTGGCGTCGAAGACCACGACTGAGAGACGCACACGTTCCCAGCAACAACAGCAGTGATGGTAAGCTACTATAAAATGTTACAGGTTATAATTAACAACAGTTCGTTTGGTGTGCTATTACATCTGTTGTTAAATTACAAAATCGAAGATATAATATATAATACACGTAAAAACCTGAATTTTTTAGTAAACAGTGAAAAATCTGGGAGGCCATTGTTCAGCAGTGGATCTCTTGTGGCTAATATAATCTGACGATAATTAATATAGTATGAAACTGATATGATATTTTTTGTTCGAATTTCCAGGTGACGTGGACAGTGCAGACGATAACGACAGTGAGCATCGCTCAAACTGCTCGGCGGCGTCCCAGCTACAGAGTCCGACGTACGAGGCGTACTACAGACAGACGGACATGTTGCCGCGCGACGATGTATACGCTTGCGCAGACAGACGCCCGCGCAGGATACACGCCTTCCGGAAACAACCCGCCAAGCCAGAGACCAAGCTATAGTATATTTTCAACTTTAGTAGTCTTGTAATCAAGTCTAAAATCTATCGATGATTATGAAGTGTAGATACATCGACAGAAGTGGTCAGGACTATCTCCATTTTCTCTTTTTAAGAGAAACAGTCGACCAGCTTTAGGTTTTGCGGAATTTTGAAATTAACATTGTATTCATATTATTTGTATTGATTATATTATTCTTGGACCTGATAAAGCCAGCCCTGTTGTATTGGGCTGGAAATAAATAGGTATTTTACTAACAACAAAGTTATATTTGTATATTCAATTAGTCAAATATTGTACATACTAACTTTTATATCCGTCCGATATGGATCTCGATTTTAGTTGAATAGGTTAATTATTCATGAACTCTGACTTAGTTGTAAACACTTAGGATAAGTTAATAAATGTATTATACTCTTGTATTATTGTATAATAGTGTATAATAAATTAATAGACTGTGAAAGGGGAGAGTGGAAATAAAACGATACGTGTCAAACTTTTATTTACTTTATTATCTATTATCCAATTGTAAAAGGGGAACCAGTCACTCGCTATCACTCCAGGTCACTACATCGCTACAGATCTCAGCCATTTACACATTTATAAAGAAACATCAACCGAAATAAGGTTAAAAATTCACAAATACACATTTAATGTTGATTAAACCTATCTTACGAACTAGGGGACTCGAGCGCGCGGGGAGACGGCTGCCAACTGAACCAAACAGAACATCCGAATCTACAACCCTAAGCCATAAACCGTAGTTTAAAGTATAGGGTCGGTGTCTGCAATGCTGTTCGCGAATAGAGACTATCGAATATAGACAAAAACAGGTCGCCTCTATGGGGGAACGCATTGCGCCGTGTCTCCGCTCGACCGATCCCGCACCTACGTTAGCTTCACCCACGGGACTTTGCGACATCGGCCACAAGTTACATTAAAACAATATCAAATGCTATAGCAGCACCTAAAATTATAAGAAGCGCTTGATCCTTCGAGAAACATAAAACTTATACACTATTCCGTGTAGTGAGAAAATTGCCTGTCTACTATAATGCAAGCTAAGCTCGGATAACATAAAACATTGATATGATTGGAAAAAGTTTGATGTAAATTGTTACGCGTTAGAATATTGCAGTAAGGGGATCCTGTCGGGTTGGGAGTCACGTGCAGGCCTCCGCCCGCCGCAGACTTGAACACATCGTATGTACTGAACGTTACGCTAACTTATCGAAACAAAGTCATTTACATCGCGGGACGTGCACACGCATACAGTGAGAGCACGCCCTCGCACCGAGCCATCTAGTGCGCGTCGCTTCTTACATTTGTATAAGCATCAAGAAACAATGCGACTACAACAGCTCCGTGCAATAAAATATGTGTCAAACATTTTCACACGCACCATCCCCAAATTGCAACACCTGTGTAGTATTTACACTTCTTAAAGTACACTTAAACAACCCTAAATCGAATATTATATTTTGCGATAGTGCCAACTGCGAGAAACTTTCCAAACTACGTCCGCGTTAAGAAAATTAACTTACAACGGTACATCGTTTAAAACAAATAGGAAACAATATACAAGTACATACTTTAAACATGCGGTGTATGTGAACTCTTTATAACACAGAACGTGATAGTTTTCACAGGTTATACAAGTGATAAGACACAGAGGGAGAAAAGTAATGGAAAGCCTCGATGAGGTCTTACTTCATATAACACAAAGTGTAAACGGAACGCTTCCAAACAACGAGGACAGTTGTTAAGCACGAGTTTTATTAAAAAAAAAAGTAATGTTTCTTTTATGTAATAATAGTTACAACCAATCGCTCAAGGCTGATGTTGAATGAATAATACGAAAACAAAACAATTACAATTGTAAATATAGAAACCGTTTGTCTGCGTTTTCGGAAACATTCCCCATACACCCTTAAGTCTTTGTCAATAGGACAGTTACAAAGTAAAGACAATCTAATAGAAAATAGAATTACAGGATTTGTTATAAAGAGTTTACAATGTACCAATTCCCAGCGTCCCTAGTTTCCTTGCGAACATGTACCAACAAAACGTAACTCAAGTTAATGAATGCCAAATGCAATGTCTTCTCCGATCCCAATAAAAAAATAATTTTGGATTTTACAACACTAGTATTAAATCCTTATTATAATATACGGATTATTACAAGTGATACAACTATAGTAATTTTGGATTTAGTAAAATAAAGTTATATATAACACACAGTGCCAATGTTCCTGAACTTTGTACATATCAGTGTATATAAAAGGGATTAACATGACTTCTCAGCGAACTGGCTACGGCTCGAGTTAGTACAAACTTACATAACGTTAATGTACTTTCAAACTTAGAGCATTACAATAGTCGCGGTACATAAAGCTGCTGCCCACGGTCGGCCGGAGTCCCAATGTAAATACAATAACATAAGCCAAAATACGAACAAAACAACAAGTTAAATATAAACTTTACAATTTAAACCGCCGACGATCGCGCCTCAGCTTTATGCCATACAAATCCATACAAATATGTAACTGATTATGTCAAAAAAATATGCAATTATCAAACTACAACTTATAACATAGATAACTCTAGCGTATATAATGGAAATATATCAGTTACGAGCTAACACCGAGCCGTATGCCTCATAACATAATCAACGAACGTGATCGTAACTACTAATACAGGCACAGTTAAAATAATACGATCTTACAATAGAGCTGTTTTACTTGGGTTATCCTTAGTCTAATGGGAATTATTCCTACAACATAAAATTACATAGGCCCACTCGGCGGCGCTGGACAACGTGACGTGTGTCAGTTAGTAGTTGTAGGGGGGCCGGGCGACGCCGGGGGCATTAGTCTAAGTATGTAAAGTGGTGCTTACTCGACTATGTATGTGTTGTGGCCGAACAGTCACCTGCTCACGATGATATGAGCTGCAAACACAAAATTTGTATTACTACATAACTATCTCGATTACACTACACATTCTGTAAAACAAACATTTCAATCCATTCCCACTAAAAGTGTCAAATGTTCTTAAATCCTGTGTATAATGAGTGTACTGACTGCAGAATAATATCTTTATACCTAACTCAAACCACAACGACAACCAGCCAAACCCATCATGATAAGTTTTGCAAAACAGTAAAACACACATGACAAAAATATAAGCAAATAAAAAACAAGCTTTTCAATAAAAAATCAAAATAAAATCCACATCAAATGTATGTAACATTGTAATTAAAACTAATTATGGAAAATAATTGATTAAATTATTCATTTTGATATTTTCGTAACAAAAATAAGCTGAAAATGTTACATACGTTTGAATGACATAATTTTTACATGCAAACAATAATAAATAAGCAAAAATCTACCTTGTAAAGTAAAGCGGGTGTTTATCCGTTCCACTTCATTCATATTATTTTTTATTATTCATAATATATTATTATTGTAATAATATATAGCTATGTCCTTTTATAATCTATAGGTATACTATGTAGACATCTACACTCCGCTAACTCCTATATCTTAAATACACTGTAACAAAGGAAAATAATAACAAATAAATAACAAAAATATATAATCATAAAATAATCGATTTGCAAATTAAATAATATACAACAGTTCTTTTTAAAATCTTCAAGTAATTTTTTACTTTAAATCCTTAATTAGGAAAACAATATCTACAATTTTTTCAACAATTCCAGTATTTATTCCAAGTAACTATTTTTAAATAACTACAACCTTTTTCCAGAATTTTATCAAAAAGTATTGCGTAATACGTGCGTAATTTGAAAATTGAATCATATAAATTTTAAAACAGCGCTGGTCCACATAAATAGCAAAATAAAAAAAACATATTTAGTTCTTAGTACGAGTATGGTTTACGTTTAAAGTGATCGACACGTATATGACGTTCGGCGCTCTGATTGGCCTGCCCCAATGAACCAACCAATCAAGAGCGCCGAACACAGCAACGATTCGATCTCGTTATACGTAAAGCAAAATCGTCCTAAGCCCTCTGAAGCCAGTTTACTTAGTCCACGGTTGGGAAAGCAATTAATATGGTGATAAAGATGTACGAGTATATATTTCGTATGTATTCGGTGTATAAGTATTGGCATAGGAATAAATTATTCCATCTTTTAAAGTATTTCCATATTTTAAAAAGATTTATTAAGTGAAACATTATTCTTTGCAGTTTAAGATAGGTACTGTCTAAAATGAGAAACACGAATAACAATACAATAGTAACTGCTTTTTGTGTATGTTTTTTACTCTTACAGGAATTACTAAATTTGATTTATTATTAACCCATTAAAGGTCAAATAAAAAGTACCAATATTTTTTATTAATTTTGTTTATTTTCGTAATCAACTGAGAGTATAAGAACAGTAAATGCGAGAAAAAAAATTGAAAATAGTCTTTTTCATGATAATTTAGGTGTGAACTCAATTGGGTACACTGACCACCTAAGTATGAAAATTTTTAAAACACGATATTTCTACACAAAGTGTTTTAGTACTTTTTACATTGCCAACGTAGGTACTCTTGAATGACAAAGGACACATCGTAGTTGCTTTTAAATTTTTAGTGGATAGTGTCCAATTCCATTTTGCAGGTTTGCACATTTCCGCCACGTAGGGTTTGATTTTGAAGTAGATTGGCGGGCAACGTAAATAATGTGAAAAAAATATCGCACTACCCTCATATAATTTATCAATATAGTTAGACAATTTTATAATGAATTAAGATAATAGGGTTACTCTACAAAAATATAAGAGATATTAAGTTTATGCGTAGAATTTTAGGTGTACTCATATGAGTACAGTGACTTCTAATGGGTTAATGAACAATAATACTTGAAAATGATACTTAAATAATATGCACCTGGAAATACTTATTCCTAAGGAGATAACAATTAAAACTAATCAAAGATTAGTTATATTAATAATATGAGACTATAAATTCCATATTGACTCATAACAAGACACTGAAACATAGTCTTTACTAGTGTGACTATAAAATCAATTTCTTCATTCTTTATTGACTCATAAACAAGATAACTAAAACGTAATCATTACTAATACTAACATAATAAGATAAATTTTCGTGTGACTTACCGACTTGACTGTAGCCTTGATGAAGTCCTTCTTGTGCGCGAGGTCAAAGTCTGGGTAGTGGCTGTAGACCTGCTTGCACACTGTCTTCATCGTGATCTGCTCCAAGTTCGCGCCCTCCAGGATCTGTTTCACGTACTTCTTGATCTCCTCGTCCTAAACAAACATGGTTACTTTTTATTGTAGTCCTAACTTTACCATTGCATAGTCTTAAAATAAATTAATTTCATTTTTAACATTTGACTTTGGGCTTGGTGTGTTGATTTAATTTACAAACAATATTGCCGGGAAATAGTTAGCTGCTTCAGCCAGTTCAATAGTTAGCTGCAATAGCTGCTTCAATCAAGACGATATTTAGTGTGTTGAACAAGTTGTAACAATCTTTCTTAAAATTTCCTTTATCTCATTAAAAGTCTGGGATAACGGATACCTCATTATCTATGAAACTCCTCTGTTTTTGTAAGTTCTTATCCATTCTTTTCCCGTAATTTTTCTAACAATTGAGTATCATACAAAATATTTCATGTTAACATACCGTGGGCGGCCGCTTGGCCTTCTTATCAGCAGGTGTATCAGACTCATCCCCGGAGTCCTCCTCCTCTTCGCTGGCCTCATCCTCCTCCTCTTCCTCACTGCCCTCGCCAGACTCCTCATCTGAAGATGCCTTCTTGCCCTTCTTGGCTGGCCGACCCGCGCCTTTACCAGCTTGTGCCTTCTTCTTAGCTGTATAAACAGAGTAATCATTATGTGGAACTCGTATTTTGCTCTGTAGTCCTATTTTGTGTTAAAAATAGCAAAACGGAGTTATTACAGAAGAGAGGTGACTGATTACTTCTAAAAATTGAATAGTTGATTGTAGTGTAATACATACCCGGTGGAGTGGGTGCTTTCCGTTTGACTGGCGTCGCCTTAGCGGACGCATTCTTAGCTACGGCGCCTTTACGACCCTTCGCCACTGCCGCCGGCCGACCGCGCTTAGACTTAGGCTCCTGTTGAAGGGAATTAAAATATTAAACAAGTGCAATATGAATGGCGAAACAAAAAATAAAAGATTTTTTTCTAAACCGTCCGAGTTAACTAGTAAAAATAACCATATTTAGTCTAAAAATTCTTCTAATCTCTATACAGTTCTAAATCAGGTTCGAATTGTAAGCGACAAATGAGAGTTTATATACTGAACTCAGTTCTTAGCTGTAACCAAGCTTATAGTTTGTATTAAGTTAATTAAATATGTAGTTAGAAAATACTCACATCAGACTCTTCTCCCTCGCTTCCTGACTCGTTCTCACTCTCACTCTCTGACTTTTCACTTTCTTCTTCACTATCTGACTTCGCCCGCCGTCCGCGACCTCCTTTACTTGGCTGTAAAAATAATAGTTTATTACTTATATTTTACTAACATTGCTGGCTTATTTATTACCTGGTCCAGGCCAATCAGGATTTAGCTTCATAAAATATAATTTACACATTTAATAGACACTAAGGGTGAGCTCCAAAAGTAATCATCAATATGGTGCAGACAGATCACCTAGTTATCAAATAATTAATTAAAAAAAAACAATATTTTAGCATATTAAACACCATGGCGGATAATGGTGAGGGTGATTAGCCTTTAATATTTTTTGTAAATGGTTCCAATGGCTTAAGAATTCTAAAGCAAACTGTGAAGAAATATAATAAAGACGGTGCACATACCCGTCCCTTCTTCCCTTTAGGCTTGCGTCCTCGCTTGCCAGTGGCCTTGCCTGAAGACCGGCGTCTACCAGACGGTTTACGTTTCCGTCCGGCGCCGGCCGCGCTCTCGCCCGCCTCGGGGTCGAAGTCTGAGTCCGCCTCCTCAGACCCACTCGGGTTGAACGAACCCTGGTACAATACAACATCTTACTTACTATTGCTTCTTATATAAATTCAATAAGTGGTAGTGTAGCCCAACTATCCAGAGAAAAATAAAAACACAGTTTATTACATTACACATTAACTTTTTCATTTAGATTACGACAATAAATTAATTGTAAATAATAATGTGGGATTCTCCAAAACTTTATATAATAATATTTAAGGCACCCTTAAGCTATGACAGGTGATATTTAACGACATTGCGGGTTTGTTTAGGTGTTAAGTCACGCTAAGTAAACTTTTTAACAGATGGTTTAAGGGTAATAACGGCCATTGGTGGTTGGTCATAGTGTTTGGTGTGTCGTACTTACATCTGAATCTTCTGAGCCATCTTTTGGTGGTTTTGGTCCTTTGACTTTTGTTTCTTGGTCTGTATCATATTCTTCATCAGAGTAGCCTTTAAAATGACGGAAAAAGAAAATATGAAAGAATTATTTCAGACTATGCAAACAAGTATAATTAATGGTCAATTTGAAAAGTTTTATTTATTTCAAAAGTGAAGATATAATATAATATAGTGGTGCCTACCTCTGTTGGTGACCTTGACGGCAGTGGATCGTCGTGGTCGTCCGCCGGGCGTGGAGGGCGGCACGGCGGGCGGGGCGCGGGCCACGCCGCGCGCGTGCGGGGAGTTCGGACCTGGTTGCTGCAGGAACCCTACTAGGCGCGCTGATAGTTCCGACGCAGACCCTAAACAAACATCATAACGTTGCGATAAAGGACTAAACAGTAATATCTACTACCACATTCTGTGACACAACTTGAACACGGTTAAACGATTTGTTAACTAAATGGTAAACCACTTTTGAGCTCGTGGTAGTTGTTGTGGTTGGGTGTCATGTGTATGTGAACTTGTATGTTTGTAAACGCACCCACGACACAGGAGAAAATTCAAATGTGGGGCAACATTTTTTTTTTAAATAAAAAAAGCTCCATCAAGGGTTTCGATATCAATTCGACCTCATCGTTCGCTTGATAAAATTGACGTGTAAAAGTGCTGCCTTGTAGCCTATTTGCAGAAATAAATTCACTTGTTTCACAATTCTTAAGAACAATAAAGATAAAAAAGTTATCATTATTCTATCCTAATCGCAAGCTACCAGAACAGCGTACGGTGCGTCGCGTACCGCGCGCGCCTCAAAGCACCACAAGCCTAAAAGGATACCGGGGCTCCGACTCGAAGTGCAGAAGTAGGAACGGGGTGGTTTTTGTCAGTAAGGGTCTGACACTCTTTCCCGCATCGCCCAGGCGGGTGAAGCTATTCGATGATTTACCCTCTTAAAATAAAAATCTACGAGAACAATGTCTGAATGAGAGAGGAAAATTATTATTTTTTTATCAAAAATCACAACAACAACATTTGATTTCAGATTCGTTTCAGTTTGGTCTCCTACCAAAAAAAATTTAAACTCGTATGTTTATCTCATACCTTTCTTGTCAAGATCAAGCATCTCACACATGGTCCGCAATGCTTTAGGTTCCATCTTGGTGGTTTCTTCCAGCTTGGCTTTGTAGTCTGATGAACCGATGGCCCACTCGTAACCTCTGAACTTCTTGATGTTGCGCTTCACATTACGGTCCAAGCATAGTTGCTGTAAAATAAATGAACCTTAGTATATTTAAGAAACTAAAAATGAGAAAAACATTAGAGGCTGGGAATTTATGCACTCTAGAGACATGGGTAAAGAAAAAATAAGTCCTATCTATTTTGTTATGTATGTTCCGTTAACTGCGTATCGCAATAGGAAGATTTAAGGTAACTCACCCCATATAGATATTGATGCAAAAGTTTTTGATCTTGCGTCTTGAACCGCGACAGTGATACTTCCACGTTGCTAATGTGGCCCAGTGGGATGCCTTTACCGGCTGGCACCGGGACGGGCGGCTCTGTTGGCTGAAGTAAAAACATTAATATTATTAAAATAGTAAATAACTAATTGCGTGGAACGGTACGACCGTACCGCGGCCTCATAGAAAACATGGGTGCAACTAGGCTTGCATTATTTCGGCGGTCTTCGTAGGCTTTCGTTACTTCCCAAAATGATGGCGTCAATTTGTAACTCCACTTGTGTTGAGACTCTCCATGCAACGCCGATTGCTTACCATCAGGTGATATGCTTGATTGTTTACCTTCTTATCCCTTAATAAAACAATTTATTGTTAGATATCCTATGTTTCTTTAGTGTTTCTAATACCCATTTGGGTATAATCTCGTTTGTCGTTCAGTAACAAGAGGACTGCGAATTTTTTAGTAGTATTAAGACAAGTACTGTCAGATAATATGATAATATTACCTCTTTCTTGGGCTTAGGTTTAGGAGCTTCCTCCTCCTCTTCCTCTTCTTCCTCCTCCTCCTCCTCTTCTCCTTCCTCCTCATCTTCACCTTCGTCATCATCTTTAGCTTTCTTTGCTGGTTTCTTTGCCCTGTAACAATATTCAGATTGAGTATACTAAGTAACACTATATTAACGTAATATTATTGTGGGATAAACTCCTAAGTTTATTTTATTAATCACATCTGCGGCCCTCTAAATTCCAAAATCGCCATCTTTACCATTCTCCTTTTTTCTAACACTATTCCGTCCCTTACGTTCCGGTTTCCACATTATTATTACTTCTCATCTTATTATTTTTTCAACTAAATATCACCCTTAAGGAAACAAATGCCCACTTTCTGCAGTTACTATTGCCACATTCTATTGATATGTTAGGAAACCTTCAAGTATTATACCACGACCAAGCTAACACATAATAATAAAAATGAGACTACTAATACTATAATTATCACTTGCTAAACTAAACTCGAAATAACTGAAATAATCCAGGTAATTAATTTGTTTAGTTAAATTTTAAGACACAGTAAAGGTATGACAAAAAATTCAAAGTGTGAGGTCATAATAGAAGATGTGACTTACTTCTCTTTAGCAGGTTTCTTTGTTTCTTCCTCGTCACCCTCATCTCCCTCCTCCTCCTCTTCTTCTTCCTCCTCCTCCTCTTCCTCCTCATCTTCTTCTTCAGTATCCTATAGAACATTTACAACTTGTATTAAAATTCAAGGCAAAAAATGTCCTTTTGCACTTACCATTAAATTCTTGTTGATCATGTTCTACTTTGACTACTAAGAAAATGGTAGTTAAAAATTCATTTCTTTCTTAAAATGATAGTTAAACTGATAGCTTAATTCCATATCTGATGTACACTTTCTATAACCATTAAAAAATATTTTTTAACTAGTATGCTTACCTCCTTCTTAGGTTTCTTTTTAGGTGCGGCCTTCTTTGCACCTTTGTCGTTAGCCTTCACGTCATCCTTCTCATCTTCATCATGGGTCTCGCCATTTTCTTCCTATAAATAAATAAATTAAATACTTATAAGTTTAAAAATTCTTCAAAATATCATGCCTAAAGAAGGTACACATGACCTGGGGGGCTTTTTTAAAGGGGGGAAAATCATCGAATGACTGCTCCCGCCTGGGTGAGGCCGGAGGCAATGTCAGACTCTTACTTACTAAAAACCACCCCGTTCCTTCTCCTGCACGTCGAGCCGGAGCCCCGGTTACCCGTTAGGTTCTCCGCGACTTGACCTGGGCTTAAGGGAGCAATATCGATATTTCTTTCTAAGGCGACTAGTCCTTTCACAATAACAAATTAGAAGTTTTATTTTAACCAAAATCTAATTATATTTTTGGTTTAAAAACTTTAATTTTGAATAATTTAGAATGTACAATCTATTTAACTAGTCTCGAGTACCGGTTTTGTAGACACAATTATAGAACAATAGGTTGCGGTCACCGGTGACCGCTTGGTATATGACAGTTTAAATAAAAATTCATTTCTGTTCTTTAGGCTAATATTAGTCCTGAAATGTTCGTTTTTTTAAACCTTCCCTTCCCTTTTAAAGGATTAAAAGTTGAGAAAAAATGGCGGTACCTACGAAGTCTGCCGGTTCACCTAGTTTCTTGACCACGGGTAAGGACAGACAAGACTTAGTAAAAGCGTTGAACCTCAATTATTTCAGATATTGAAGGAAATTAACATATTAATTATGTAAAAAGAAAACCCTTCAAAGTACGTAACCAAAAACTTTTAATAAACAAAAAATGTTAATAGTCTTTTAAAGATTAAATAATTATTAAGGAGCAAATAATGTGGTATTACTCTCGGCACGGTAACTAATGAAAATCGATGATAACAATCTGTGAGTTCAAAATAAATGCTATTTGTGAGAGGGACGCGTCCTTGACATCTGAGGCCGGGGTATTTTTAACCTCTCCGATACATTTCAATAAAAAGACAATGTTTTCACTTTATTTCTGAGAATAGCTGCGTAGGTATGTATTTAATGATGTTATTCTAGAACTTCGAAATTGTATTATTAGACATTCATAAGTTACGAGTGAGTTATTAAAAAATCTTTTTACTTTTTATGGCTTCTAAACATAACTAACGGTAAGTACTGTTAACGCTACTTATAACTCCTTCGTATAATTATTTCATTTATGTGTTATTATCAAACATTCGTCACAAATCCAAATCACCACACTAGGATTTTCTCCTGTGTCGTGGGTGCATTTACAAACATACAAGTTCGCATACACAATGACATCCAGACCCGAAACAACAATTTGTGGATCACAGAGTTGCTCCGTGTGAGACCGTGTGGGAATCGAACCCGCTACACGTTGCGCGGCAGCCGGTTGCCCACGCACCGCGTCAACCGTGCAGGCGTTATAATACTTCTAAGATAACGGAAACCCAAATAGTATTTTACACGACCAGAGGGCCAAGCACGAATAACTATCGCATTCGTATCGTAACAGTATCGAGCGAAGTAAGCGTCCTGATTGGTTGGTTCACTCGAGCCGGCCAATCAGAGCGCCGAACGCACTCGATACTATTACGTTACGATTGCGATAGTTATTCGTGCTTGGTACTCAGGGCATCCTACCAGAGCCACATTACAAGGACGTCGCACGCGAACAACCAATGAATGAAGCGATTATATCACCCTTTGATTCTATCAAGAGTTTACGAAAACAAAATACAAAACGCTACAAAGGATCAAGGCTAAGCAAACTTTCGGCTTGTTTGTCGAAAACGTCGTATTATCACGTGAATGAATTAATTCAAGACAAACAAGCTTCCACGTGTTTCCATGCAGACACAAAAACTATAATGTTCTAATCATACCAGTTCATTTAGCTAAATAAAACATTGTATTTTTAACATTATTTAATTTATTATCATTATTTTTTAATATTAAGATGCACCATCTATTTAGGCGACTTTGATGATGCGATGACGAAGACGGATGTAAAACTGGATTTAATTTTCTTTATCTATACCAGAAATTGTACCCAAGACTCATGTAATTCGGAGTCGCGTACGCATATCACTGCATTTGATTGGATGGGCTATGGATTTAGGCAAAATGATTTAATCCCGGGCAAATTACGGCTCGTGAAAGGATTTTGAATCCGGCCGCAGACGGTCTTTTGGAATGGAAATGGACAGTAAGTATACCTATGGCAACCCACTTAGATTTGATGGAACATCACATCATCACGTCCTTTATGGCCGAAGGGATAGGCAGAGGTGCAAATTAAGGCACTTAATGCCACTGTATAATGTAACACCCACTTTTCACTATTTATGTTATGAGTCCCATGTATTTAATAGTGGTGAGCATATAGCCATATATCAGGCACAATTCCAGACTCCGTGCTACTACTGAGATTTTTTTTAAACCCAGTAATCTTTACCCTACCCGGGAATCGAACTCGAGACCCATTGCTCGGCAGTCGCACTCGCGACCACTCGGCCAACGAGGCAGTCCTTTGAGATTTATTTGGTTTGATGGATCATGTTAAATCGCGGGCATGCAATTGATATTTCCTTATCTTTGTCTCTCACAACTTGTTAACTTTTAAATCTATACTAATATTATAAAGCTGAAGAGTTTGTTATTTTTGTTTGTTTGTTTGAACGCACTAATCTACGAAAGTACTGGTCCGATTCGAAAAATTTCTTTGTTGGATAGCCCATTTATCGAGGAAGGCTATAGGCTATAAAATATCACGCTAAGATTAATAGGCGCCGAGCAGAGCGAGTGAAACCCCGCGAAGTAGCTAGTCCCTCATAAAAATCGGAGTATTCTCTGAAAATCGTCTACCGCCAATAATCCAGGGCGTCAAACGACGTAATTAAGAATGGTATTAAACTGTCTAACTCCAAGCGGTCACCGGTGACCGCAACCTATTGTTCTATAATTGTGTCTATAATGACGGTACTCGACGAGTTAAATGCACGTGGTTGTGGTTTGGAATTGAAAACGACGCATAACTACCTAGATGGACAACTGGCTAAACTTGTCGAGCAAGCCTCGTCTGTGGCATGTCATTTCTTGAAGTATTTAAATTCCAATCATAAAGCTTCTTATTAGGTCACAGTTTACATTGATTTTTTTATACTGTACGTTGTGCATAGTGGCTGGGTAACCTACTACTGCGCTACATGTTGCGAATTCGATTGCTGTATGGAGGAATTCTTTGTATCACTACATAGTATAAAACAATGTCGCTATCCGCCGTATGTCTGTCCCTATGTATGCTTAGATCTTTAAAACTACGCAACGGATTTTAATGCGATTTTTTTTAATAGATAGTTTGATTCTTAACTCGTCGAGTACCGGTTTTGCAGACACAATTATAGAACAATAGGTTGCGGTCACCGGTGACCGCTTGGTATTTGACAGTTTAAGGAAGGTTTACATGTGTAATACACGCAAATTGCACCCGTACGAAGCCGGGGCGGGTCGCTAGTAGTAGTAATCTGTAAACTATTATTCCGGGTCAGTGTTTTCTTTTCTTATTGAAATAGGTATAACTACTTTTTACCAAAATTTGATATCTTCGTAATAATGAAGCCGCTCGTAATCAAAATTGGTAACAAGCAATTTTAAGTTAAAGAATTGAAATAGTACCTAAAGCAATACTTCTCGATTCGACCATAAAGATCGAACCCGAGACTCACAGACTCTCAGAAATCCCGACCCGCGTGTTCGACAGTCGCACTTACTAACGAGACAATAATCACTAACATTACCAACATGCACAGAATGTAATTTACGTAATTAAGTATTGATATCCGTGTTGGTCACGCTCTCCTCGGTAACTGGGTGAACAGCACACGAGATGCGTCCATATACTCACAAATCATATTTAATTTCAATTTCCAAATACCCAATAAAACAAAATCTTGAGAAACATGAATAATAATTCTACTTATTTGTGTTAGCTAGTTCACCCGATTTGGATTCAGTGACTAAACTAACCTTGTCGTAATGGCGTTGAAAACTATTTTCCTAATTAAAAAATGAGAGCAAAACAATTTTCAACAACTCTGTCCTGTAAAACTAAACCAAATTATCCGTAATGTAATGAACAATACGTTCAACAAGCTGAAACTCAGTCGATTAAAATTATAATAACCAAAAATCCACCTACACTTACAAAAAAGTTTGCAATCACATCAGCAAGTGCAGTTGGGACGCAACTGCCCAGAATTAAATATTCTACATTAGAGACGCAGACTGCAATGGGGGAGAACCTAATTTGCATACATAAATACATTCACCTTGACCTCCTGCGAGATTATTCAGGTTTTTGACGTTTTGTTAACAAATACTCGGGTCATATGTACTGGGGTGATTTGTTATCACGACATATCTTGTATGGTGTTATACAAGATTTTGCTTTCAAGTTTAAAGATAATAAAATGTTGAATATACTTCCACATACTAACAGGTGGAAGGTAATTCAACAAAAATGGTTGAATGAAATAGACTTTTACTAGATTGTTACTTGACAAAAAATCATCCTGTATACATATTATGTGTCGCAGAATACTTAAGTACGAATAAGTGACACGAGTATTTTCGTTATGTTACATATGGGCTGTAAGCTCATGTAAATGATTAAGTATATATTTTTTATTCTGACACTGCTGACACCTCCAAGTTGTCGACAGGTAATACTGCTTACTAATTGTAAGGATATTTTAACCACTGTCTTTGTTGGTTCAATGTAATAATAACAAAATTATGTCATTAACACTGACCTTTTTAGAATCCGCTTCTGACTTTACGTCCTTGTCATCTTTTGAGTCGTCCCCTGCGCCGTCATCGTCCTTTCCGTTGGCCGTCGTTGATTTTGAATCGCCTATGCAAAACAAAAAATGCCTTTAATATAAACAAATATTCTAAATACATATTCTTTTTAAAACTGTGTTTAGTTAAAATCTTTGTAATCTGTACAATTATAACAACTTTACGATACGCGCAAGTTAATATATTTAGTTTAAAGTAAATTGTGCTTTCTAATGGAAAATCATTCCTTCTTTCCTCTACAACGTTGTTTAAAAACAAATAAACTTCTTTGTGTACATACTACATGTTATAGATCTTATCATTATCTTCAAAGGTCAATGTACTCATGTACAAATAGATTTTTGGAAACTATAGAAACCAATATGAAAACGTGAAAAAGATATTACATCATTCTCGTTGAATAAATGCGAACTATGAAATTTTTTGTCTTTGCTCAAGTCTTCAACAGAATTTGCAATCCTAAAGTCTCATATTTTCATACTAAAGTGTAATTATTAAAGTTTTCTCTTTGCATTATAATCGCCATGTCATGTAGTGTATTTTGCAAAGCAACAGTTATCATAGGCACAATGCGACGGTAATGATTACATACAAATACTGCGATATCATACACCGACAGCGTAGTCATAATATTGTGCGAATATTTCACGTTTCCAACGTCCCTAGAAGTAAATAGATTAATATTAAATGTAGATCTAGTATACAGATAATTAGCTGTACGTATCAGTATTTAGTACTGTGATGTCTGCAATGTTTGTTTAATTTCTTATTACCGTCGCTTATCATTGAATTGCTATCAGCTACATTCTACAGTATCTACTACTCGAGTCTTTTGACACGATCGAAAATTCGCTATTTCATCTACATTAACAATTATTTTTGTTAGCTTGAAAATTCTTATTTATATCCTAATTACATTAATGCTACCGATTTAGTATGACTATTTTTCTATAAAAATTTTAATTATAACAACCAGTAGAGTGAAGGAGAGGCAAAAACGATGTCCAAACGCGATAACATCAATGATAAGGAGTATGATATACATACTATACACAAAATAGCATTATTTATGTCCTTAAAACGGTTCCGATCACTCTGCAACATAGAGTGTAAATAAATGCGTATATCTGATATCAAAGATAATGAGATAAATCTAGATATTTAGCCAATCAGAAGATGTTTAATACAAAAAGCTAGAAAGGCAAATCAAAGTGGCTTGATTCCCACTGTGTCTTGCACATATACGACTTTGCACCTATTTTCTATTTACTTTGTTCTTGGGTCATAAACGCACAGGTCGATAAGACCGTGAAAGTAGGGTAGGGCCCTCATTCTAACTTGACCACTAGATGAATCTCAGCGCGATATCAGGCATCAACACGTGTCAATGCCCTTTGTTTCTAGTAACAAAACGATTTGACTGTGCAAACTGATTCTTGCGGTCATTGAATTATAAATGATTGGTCCATTTCTCTTGTACATATTAGGAGTAGGATACACTAACGCTAAGGTATATTACAAGGCATTTTGTAAGGAAGTTCTTTTGGCTTTTTATCTAAGCAACTCAAGGCTTTTTGTATGTAATATACGACATTACATCGGTGTCACTGTTTATGCGTAACAAAACTGTGAAGATTACATAAAAATTTAATGAAAATTCCTTAATTTCATGGACCTTTATAACTCTCACATGACTATTTGTATTACACAAATGTTCTTACACAAGTCCTATTTTCTTCTTTCGTGATCTTAGCAATCCTTTCCTTAATTTAATATTTGTTTATCACACCCTCGTCCGTGTCGTCTGGCCGTGCCCTACTGTAACGACCATTTTGCAGAGTAAATTGCGCAATTTATCACAACGTGTACTACCTCAACACTGAATAAGTAGTTCGACGATAACATTTCGCCCGTGGAATCACGGAAACATGAACTTTGAGTGATAAGACTTTCTTAACTTTTTAAATGTTATGTAAACTTGTCAACAGAATTTGCAAATTGTGTAAGAATGCTACCTTTCTACCTTCTACGTGGAGAAAGGTAAAAATGTGACCTATACATGTCACTTTTGAGCCTTCTATCTCCTCCCTCTCTTTATCCATCTACTTAATTGAAATGAAGCAAACGTTTTCAAAGTGCAACATACACGAGTATAAAAGTGTCCCAGCTTCAACAAGATTGTCTAAATTGCTCTGAATGCTAACTGAATCTCGCCGGATAAAAGTAAGCGGTCGTTAGTACTTACGATAGCGAGATTGTTAGTAAGTGAACGAAATGCTCGTCTTATTGAAGTGAGGTGATTCATTGATTTCTTGTGCATGCACGGTGCAACATAGCTGTTTTTGCATTGATGAAAATGATCGGAAAAAATGGTGTTCTGAATCTCTGTTAGCTTTACAATCGTCTTGCAAGCTCTTACTAAGCCTTTAAGTTAATTAATCTACGACGTAGAATATTTTTTGAACTTCATAAACGTAAATGTACCTAACACTAAAATTTCTAGGAGGATCACGAATTTTCGTAAAATAAATTATAGTATGTAGTTAAGAACTATGTGAGAATTATACTCGAAACAGTGAAATCTACATTTGAAAATAGTACCACGGAACAAAAAAACAGCTAAATATAATTTTGTTCTAAAACCGGTATGCATTAGAAGTCTGGCCGAAATAATCACACCAATTGTAAGAAGAGCTCTGGTTTCTCAATGTTTTAACAATTTAAGAGGTCTACATATTTATTGTTAGTGTGAGTCAGAGATTACACAGTCTGAATTCGTAATTACAAAATATCATCGACTCTTATATCATGATGTAGTTTGGCGTGGAGTAATCGTTTTATAATAATTTAAGTTTCATTAGTCCAGTAGTAGTAGTAGTTTCGGTAGTTAGGAGTTTCTGGAATTGTATTTTGCGCAATTTCACAGACGGTGGTCGTCCTGAAAATTTTGCATGGATTTCTTACTGTTTAAGAAATGCTAAAATATTAATTACGCATGGCCGTTTTATTTATTTACGCATTTTTCACAAGCAGTTATTTCATTACTGGGATAGGAACAATAAAGGCTGATTATCCTATCCTCCAATCATTGAAAAGTTGGTTAATTGGACAGACATTTTTCAAGAGCCTCGAGTATAAAGCAATGCACGTGCAAATTGGCTCGCGAAGAGAAAAACAATATCTGAAACGGTCGCCATTATGCTTATCCAACAGGTTTGCGTTTGCTTTGCGCGGGAAAGTCATGTACACTACATAAATAAATATTGTACACGTAAGGAATTCAAAATTATAGTGCTTAGATTTATTGGGACCAGTTTGCGAGTTCAAAATATAGTAGAGCTCTATTGGTAATGCAAGAACTAATATATGGGGCGTTTTGCACATCATTTTATGGGTTTAGGAACATGTTTTTTAAAGATTATAACTTTTTAAATAAGTAATTTTGGTTCCTAAATCTTTGAATATCTGTTACTGTCCCAGCGGAGTGAAGTACGCACAACTACGGCGCCATTTATACCATGGTTAAGTTCGATGCACGGAAATCGATAATAACTAGTGACAAGGTTGTAAGTTTACTAGCAACGCTTTCGACAATTTATTGGGTGTCTATGGCAGTTAGTTCACTTGTTACACTGTTTTTAATAGGTAACGTTCTTTGGAGTAGTTTTGGGTGAAAGCTAAGACGCTCTTACAAGTGCTATCTCGACATTTCTCTAAAATAAGGTCTTCTAAAGACGTTTGCCTAGTACAAGAAAATTAACAAAAAAAACTATGGATTTTTGCTTATATTTGGACGATCAACAATATTAGCATCCGCAAAGAAGGTGGAAGGGATAGTCCACATTATTTTTAGTTTAGTCTTTATACATAGAGTAGATAAGGTACACGTGTCTGTCTACACAATTCTTAACGGCGGCAAAAACTGAATTAAGCAGGCACGCATAAGTGCGGAAGGTGCGTTTCAAAAACTCGGTTGCGTAGATAGAAGTCTTGAATATTTCATTACTTTATAACGTTCCAACTTCAACTGATGTAATTTATTCAACAATAACTACTTCACTCGTTTCTTTTGTACCTTTCGTGTATCATAAACTCGAAAAACAGTAAGAAATGTCATTTTTTTAATAGTATTTTCTGATAAATAATTATAATAAGGTTGTTTATTGTTTGACCTCACTTACCTTACGATGTGTTAAAGTTAAGACAATTTAGACATCACAAAACATGAAATTAACTCACAAACAATGCATCACAGTGTGTATTGTAAAAATGTTTAGTGTGAACTTTACTGTTCATAATGCTAAACTTTTCGTATCTTAACTCGTCGAGTACCGGTTTTGTAGACACAATTATAGAACAATAGGTTGCGGTCACCGGTGACCGCTTGGTGTTTGACAGTTTAATTACGTAGCTCTTCGACGACGTACATCGAGTAGTTTTATGGACCCTTGCGTGGCTTGAAACTAGTAGAGTTTCTTCGTAAAGTTATTGTAAGTACATTCTACCTCTAGGAAGGGTGAAAGTATGAATTAAACTTAGCAACGACAGGTGCTCCGCTAATTTGAGTTGGCGTTAATTTTTTCATTACTAATGTGTGTATTTTATACATCTTTAGTATAAAGAACTTAATTTTTTATACATACTTTACTTTTAATTAATATTTGAATATTAACAGAAAATAGGTCTTTCCAAATTACTGCCCAAAAGGGTCAAAACTTAATTCTTTTACAAACTCTCAACAAAAATATTTTAAGTTCCTTTTACAAGATTTTACAGATAAAAACGTATGGGTCCCTAGAAAATGGCACTTAGATGTTTAGAGAATGTGTGCTATGATTGGCATTCCAAATGAAGGTTTTCATATAATTTAGTAGAATTAGTTAGTAGATGTGAGGACATATTGTGTGGAATGTTGTGTTTACAAAATGTGACACAGATCTCCTTTTGCTTGTTAACTTTGAAAAAACTATTTATAATTATATTTACATTATTATTATAGTTATCGCAACAAACAATGCTTAGGGTTTTCACCGTCATGTCTGATTTTTGTTTCCCTTAGCTTAACTGATATTTCGACATTTTTTATATGAAAAAAAAAAAAACAAAAGCATCAAAATTACCCATCAGTTATGACTGACAGATACTTAACATCATACCAAAATTTTAAAACACTTTTTTCAACTTAACAAGTAAAAGGAGACAAAAATTAGCCCCAAAAGGTTAGTTGCCATGTAGATGAACTCCGACTTGTGAACACAGACCAGACAAGGGGATTGGAGTAAGGACCTGACCTTCTATAGACTTATTCTCCTCTTTGGTGGTGTCTGGTTGATCTACATCGGCGTTACCTGGGGCTTGGGCAGGGTTCTGAGACACCTGCGACTCACCCTTCGAGTCCTGGGAGGACTCGTCTTCTGTCGTCTGGCCGTCACCCGTTCCAGACTTCTTGTCTTCATCCTGTCACATAAATATTATGAATTTTAATATTAACCCATTAAAGGTCAAATACAAAGTACCAATATTTTTTTTTAATTTTGTATATTTTCGTAATCAACTGAGAGTATAAGAACAGTAAATGCGAGAAAAAAAATGGAAAATAGAATTTTTCATGATAATTCAGGGGTGTACTCAATTGGGTACACTGACCATCTAAGTATGAAAATTTTTAAAACACGATATTTCTACACAAAGTGTTTTAGCACTTTTTACATTGCTAACATAGGTACTCTTGAATGACAAAGGACACATCGTAGTTGCTTTTAAATTTTAGTGGATATTGTCCAACTCCATTTTGCAGGAGGGAGCACATTTCCGCCACGTAGGGTTTGATTTTGAAGTCGATTGGCGGGCAATGTAAATAATGTGATAAAAATATTGCACTACCCTCATATAATTTATCAATATAGTTAGACAATTTTGTAATGAATTAAGATAATAGGGTTGCCCTACAAAAATATAAGAGATATTAAGTTTATGCGTAGAATTTTAGGTGTACTCATATGAGTACAGTGACTTCTAATGGGTTAAGATGGTTGATACATATTTTTCTTGAAATAGTTTAAGTACATGTTTATATTATTTTTCTATCTTGTTGCTAAGTCAGTATTTTAGTATGAAGTAACTACTTAATAATTTAATTACTATGAATCTTAGTACATAAGAATGTGAGCAACAAATTAGTGTGGATCTTAGTACTTAATTAATCTAATGTTATTAGGAACTATAACAGAAATTCTTATAAGTCTATTTCTAATTAGAGACATTAATTTTGATATTTTTTCAATAATTATGTACAATTCACAGTAATTTTATTAAGCTTAGGATGGCAATTTTAATATTTTATTTATGTAATGGATTGTTAAATTGACAGTAACCATGAACAACAAATATAATATTGTGTGAAGATTTTCATAGTATAGTGAACGGACTACTTAGTAAGCATGAGTCGAACACATTCATACAACTTGAGGCTGCTCTATAAACGAAACTAATTAATTCTAAGATAATGAAACAATTCCTGCTTGATATTGTGAAACCACATAACATTTTACTGAAAAATATTCAATATTTTCTGTAATTTTTTCTCACCGCCTAGTGCAACATGCATTGTTTAAAATGTCAATGAATTACAATAAAAACAAAAATTTTGCAATCATTCATTGCCAAATCTGCATGTCGAACACCATTCTATTGGTGAAGTCGGCGTCACTTCCGCGAGCCATCATTCAATTATAAACCTTATGTAAATAGACGCAAGTCACATATTCCAATGCCTCCTCTTCTAACACTATAGAAAGACGTATACAGCTGTATACATACAATATCTACGTATGGATTACTCTATAAAGGAATATTCTACAACTCTCCATCACATCTAATGTACATTCAACTTATTGCGAGATGATTAATTTGCATTCGCGCCATAATCGTATACTAACACAAAAAATAAACCGGAAAAAAACTAAAGAGGTCAGTAATAAAGGCCCCCGAAAAGGATACTTATGTTTTATTTACATCGCCGGCAGAGTTCAGAGCGTAAATAATGAGTCGCGAGGCCGCGACTCAGTGGAACAACAACATATCACGCTGCCTACAAAATTGAATAATCGCAAGAAACCAAATACCAAGGTCATGCGGATTTCATATCAATGTCATATAACATCGTGCACATTTAACAAAGGCCCTGCAACGAAATGCAAAGGGGCGGGGGTGGCCAAAATATGCGAAATCCTGAAATATATCTCATTAGAGTCAGTTTCGATAACTGATCAAGATGGCATTCACAGTTTTTATTGTGAAATATTGACTTGTATCACAACCCTCCGTGGCGTAGTTCCCGCTTTTAGCGGGAAGCAAACGTTCTGTCAGCCATGTTGAGACGCAGGCAAACATTAGTGATATAACACGGAAATAACACCACTGCACAAGTGAAATCTATCTTATTAGACGCGCACTAGTACTAAGAAAATTAAAAGAAAAACATATTTCACAACTATACCTGATTGTCACTGATTTTCGCTTTATCGGTATCACCCGACATTTTTCCTACGAAGAAATTGAAAGCGAATTCCAAGCGTCTTCAAACACCGGACAACACAAATGCACGCACCCATAACATAGAAAAAAAATTAGTACGTTTTATTATTCTCAGTGCATTTATCTAAAATACGTTTATAGTGCTGAAAATAGGTGCAAATTACAGTTATTATGCTTAAAAATATTTAATTTATTATATTGTTTCTATGAAATCAATATAATGGAAATTATAAAAGCATTATAAAAATCCAAGCTAAAAATTAGTATGAAAACCTCTTTTTTGAGTGAGATAAATCTGTTTCACTAAAAGTTCTTCAATATTCACCAATAAATATTTAATTTATTGCTATAACTATAAAACAGTAATTAAAACATTTACTAATCAAATTTTTTAGTACAACAACTTTTTAAACGTATCCAACCTTAGGATAAAATGTCGTGTAATTAAATGTAATAAATTATCGTCTAGTTTCATTAAATTTCTCAGTAAATAAACTAAAAAAAAATGAAAATAAATTATTATTGCTTTAAGATAAATAAAAAGAAATATGAACCGGTAAATCCTCCTTAGCTTTATTGCTTGAAGGAAATAACAAAACGTATTTTTGCTCTAACCAAAGACAACAATTTTGACTTTCATAAAATCTCAACTGTATTTTTTCAGAATGAAATATAGCACTGACACGGTTCTATTTCAACTGATAATGTGTTAGTTTTATTTGGGAACTCATTAGGGCACTCAAGTTGGTAGATAATTAGTATAAAAAGAAATAATATTTATTGGTAAGCGACATTTAAAACATTCATCTTTTTGTCTATGGTCCGCGTCTTTCTCGCAACGAACTCGCGTTGCGAGAGAAACCTTTCTTAAAGTTTTTGGGTCATTTTGATCCTTTTTAATGGCTGCGGTATTACGCGGTTGAATGTGAAATTGGGTTCAAATATGAGTGATTATTCTTCTATGGCTACGCTTCAAAACAATAGCCCAACGGCAGGATTTGCGGCTGCGGTACAACGTGCTAGATTGGTAAGCGCATCTTCTCTTTACAAAAATCGCGTCTATTGACATTTACGTGTTATTTACCGTTAAAATTTTGTGTTTATACCTTCTAAACATAAAATATTATTCATTGTGAGTGGTTTTTACTACAACCTGCCACTTTCTGCTCGGACTAGTGATCTTTTATTGAAGAATCATTGGTAAGATACTTTTACCTAACCTACTTATTGATTGTATTTTTTCATGATGATGGACGTATGTGGCTATCAAATACAATGCAGCTGTTCTGTTGTGATGGTTGCGCTTGGTTACATGTGTTTTGTACGGATGTTTTTCGAACGTACACGGTGAGGTGTTCACTCGCGGTAAAACTACGTTGTGGCTCATAATAGGCGCGAATTATGCATCAGACAAATCAATCGGGTCCTGGACTAGTTGTAGTTGTATAAGGAGAAGCACAAGGTTTTGCTGTTAAAATAAATACCACGACACCAGCGTTCGATTTGAATTACTATAATATTGTACCTATGATTGTCTCTTTGATGCCTCCATATAAAATACTTTTGTAAAACAATAATAAGTAATAGATATATCAATCATTCTCTTAAAACCAATCAATTTAAATAATTTTCAAATTTCTATCAATTGATCTGGGTTGCAAGTAAAAAACGAGGGAATTAAAATACCACATGATTTCTGAAGGAATGTTTTTTCAAGTAATTTTTGTCAGTGGTCATTTTAGTCAGTGGGTGTACTTGGAAGGTTTAGTTGCTCTTTCTCCAGGTGTGTCACTAAAGATAGAAAGTAAAAACAAACTTTTGACCCATTATCCATTATAACAGTGAGTAATAACCACATAATATTATTCATTATCAATAATCATTTTTATAAATACCTAAGTAGTAACATAAAAACAAAACCTAAACTCAGTTCTTCTGCCACAAAAAGTTTGTAAGATCTGAGTCTGAGTAATAAAATAAAGCTTAAAATTAGTTAATAATAATATGTAATCTAATGTGGATTATAGTTTCATTATATCTTTTTTGAAATTAGGGAGGTTTTTAATAACACCTATAGTTTTTGGAGAGAAAAATACCATACTCTAACTAAAGTGTGGTGTTTTTATCCCGCCCCTCAACTACTGTCAGCCCTGTAAAGGTGTTTAAACGGAATATTGTAAATCAGGCATTAAGTAATGTGTATGATCAATGCCATTTCACAATTATTACCTTATTACGTTAATAGTAGAATTATTTGACAGTTATATATTATATTGACAGTTATACCAAAAAGGTTTTTATTGTATGTTGCAAATACAAAACTTTTTATTTGAATGCAAGAAGGGTTTTGTTTTTTAAGTTACCTGTGTCAGTTTGGGTCTAAAGTAGCAGTGGAAGGGTGGTCTATACTGGTACTGGTCCTACATTCACTTAGTATTAAACAAGAGACTAAGGTTAGGATTTTTATGTTAATTTATTATTTATTTATTACATCTAATTGTTTTATAATGAATGGTAAATTACTTCATTAAGCAAAGTCCCTTCATTTTATCATTTGTCTTTGAAGTGTTCAACTAGAAAGTCTGCAAGCATTGTGTGGTATTTATAAAATCTTGCAAATATTGGTAATAATAACTACTAGTGAATGTACCATGTAGTTAATATTGATAGAGTATTTAATTGTATATCAATGTTGACAGGTTGCGGCGAAACTAGAAGGAGGTGGTAGCAAGAGGCCCTTGGAAGAAGGTCCCGAACCGAATGCAAAGAAAGTTGCGTCTGTGGAAGTACCTTATCAACAACCACAGCAAATGAGGTAAGTGAGAGAAATAATATTTGAAATTATTAAAAAATATATAGATTACAATACCTAGCGGGTCACTAGTGTGGCTACTGGAAACAGTGGTTCTAGCAACTAAACCCGGTTCAAAAAGCTATAATCAAATTCTCTAGGTTTCGTCATTCACAAATAAAATTGTTAGTAGTAGCACAGTTTAAACTGTCATACACCAAGTGGTCACTGGTGGCTGCAACCTATTGTTCTATAATTGTGTCTATAATGACGGTACTCGACGAGTTAAAATTGCTACATGTAAGCTTTATCCATAGTTAATTAGTTAGGAGTACTGCAAAATATTTATTCCATTTCATATGCTGTTTAACTAAATTTATGTTTGTTAAACAATCAATGAAATGACAATCAATAGTACACCTTCATGCTTATAAACTTGATAATACAACATTGTTTAAAGTTACAGTCAGTACTGTACATTAGTGGTCTTATTCTACATAGCATGCCCTACGTCAATATTAATTTATGTGTAATGCACCAGTGCTACAACAGATGTATATTTTATGGGAAGTTATGAGACAATCCCAACTCAAGTACGCTTGTAACTGAAAATAATGTATGAGATGTAAATAAAGACATTTTGTTTATGTAGTGCACCAAGTGCAGCCCCGGCAGTAAGCCGAGCAGCCCCAGCGGCCGCGGCCGCCCCCCCGCCGCCTCCCAGCGCGGCCGGCAACCTTATGCCCGACCAAACCCTCAACGAATACATCCGAGTACCAGACAAGATGGTTGGACTCAGTAAGTTATACTTGAACTTTGTCATCATCATCATCATCAGATATGAACAAAAACTTCAGCTCATTACGAGGTTTCTGTACATTTGCTTGGTGTAAAATCAAAACCTATTGAACAGTTTTTATGCGTCTTTCACTTAAATGTTTGAGTACGAAGTACCAAAGGCAAAACTCTGGAAATAATTTAAGCTAATAAGGCAATGTGTTCTAAAACATGTTACAAACAGATCCCTTCTTACCTGTCTACATATTGATAGCATCTAGAATTATGTAATTCGTTTATAAATCAACAATTTTCCTCTGTACCCAGTAATTGGGCGCGGCGGTGAGCAGATCACACGCCTACAGGCGGAGTCAGGATGCAAGATACAGATGGCGCCAGACTCTGGCGGCCAGCCCGACAGGCTTTGCACCCTCACTGGATCACGCGAGGCAATACAGAGAGCCAAGTAAGAAAATTTATTATTTTTCCTTTAGGTACCCAGAAAAATATGTAACAAAATAGTGTAAGCTAAAAGTTAACAAGTTCTTTATGAATTATGAAGCAATGTGGGACTATTTTTCCCTTCCTCTTCCTTTCCTTTTTTTTACTGAAGTTTGCTAACTTAATAATAATAATAATAATAAACACTTTATTGTACACCACTTACAAAAGACACGAACAAGAAAATAGTAGGTAGGAAAAAAAAAAATAGTTTTGGCATGTTGCACAATGGGCGGCCTTATCGCTTACAGCAATCTCTTCCAGGCAACCTTAGGATGGATAAATAACCGTGAGAGCAGATACCATGTGGGTAGTTCATAGTGTTGAATTAAATACAATGGATATGACAGAACAGTTTAGATACATACATACAATATGTACACACATACATACATGCCTACATACTCATATATACATATATATATACATACACATACATACACAAAATCAGATACATACATACATACATACGGATATGCGGTAGCAGTTACTCTATTGAATCTGTGTTAGATAATGATCTTTTACTTGTCTTTTAAACGAATCCAAAGATTGCGCCCGTCTTATTGATAATGGAAGTGCGTTCCACAGTCGAATGGCTCCTACAACAAAGGATTTGTCATAAAAGGCAGTCGTATGTGTTGGCATCTCCAATCTCAAATTCGCAGTAGACCTCAAGTGTCTTGAATGTGCGTCATGAAGGAACTTAGAACGTTCTTTGAGATAAGAGGGCGTAGCAGGATTGTACTTATTAACTTAAATGTTTATATGATGTCATTATTTTGATGTTCCTACCTAATTACTTAAAAGTTAAATTATTAATACCCATCGAAAATATGGCAGCTGACTGCATAGCAGTCAGTCGTTCCTTTACACTCTTTTATTATTAAAACCAGTCGTGGAATCGTGTAATCTACGTGGACTGCACGGTTGGTGCGGTGGCTGCGCAACCGCACCAACCGTGCAGTCCCGGGCGTGCAGCCCGAACCGCGTGTCGCAGGTTC